GTCTTGACTTGGTAATAACAAGAAAAGGGTTGGTGACTGGCAGGTCGCCATGGCAGCGAGCTCGGCATGCCAATCACGTAACCCTGCCCYCTTTTCTGGAGCGGAGGAAAGTGGGTGGTGTGGCCCATTAATCACCAGTTCAGGAGAGCACACACCCCTTTAGGAGCGGTGCATGTGTGTGTGTGTGTGTGTACTTGTATTTATTACCCTTTTTCAGGACCGCTTCTGGTATACACACCTACCTTGTCAAGACCAGTAGTCCTTATGGGGACCAAAGACCCTACCTAATATGGTGGAACTCCATTTTTGGGTTGGGAGTTGGGCTTAGGACTAAGGTGTGTCTGTTTTAAATTGTAAAATGCTTATTTTTAATTTTTATTTAGGCTGTTACCTAGCAATGCAGGCAACCAGCTGAAAGAGACCACCTGTTCAATACAATCAGTAGCATTCTCCTGTGGGCGGGGCCTGTTCTGCACRTAGGGATCTCTGCAGTGCATGTTGTCCTGTAGGCAGAGATGGCCCTATCCGTGGTTGTCGGAGGTCTTGATGTGGATGGAGATGGCCCTACCCGTGATTGGTGGAGGTCTTGATTTGAGCGGAGATGGCCCTACTCGTGATTGGCAGAGGTCTTGATGTGAGCGGAGATGGCCCTACTCGTGATTGTCGGAGGTCTTGATGTGGGCGAAGATGGCCCTACTCGTGATTGGTGGAGGTCTTGGTTTGAGCGGAGATGGCCCTACTCGTGATTGATGGAGGTCTTGATGTGAACGGAGATGGCCCTACTCGTGATTGTCGGAGGTCTTGATGTGGGCAAAGATGGCCCCACCCGTGATTGGTGGAGGTCTTGATTTGAGCGGAGATGGCCCTACTTGTGATTGTCAGAGGTCTTGATATGAGCTGAGATGGCTCTACTCGTGATTGGCGGAGGTCTTGATGTGAGTGGAGATAGCCCTACCCGTGGTTGTTGGAGGTCTTGATGTGAGCGGAGATGACCCTACCTGTGATTGTTGGAGGTCTTGATGTGAGCGGAGATGGCCCTACTCATGATTGTCGGAGGTCTTGATGTGGGCGGAGATAGCACTACCCGTGATTGTCGGAGGTCTCGATGTGAGCGGAGATGGCCCTACCCATGATTGTCGGATGTCTTGATGTGAGCGGAGGTAGCCCTACCCGTGGTTGTTGGAGGACTTGATGTGGGCGGAGATAGCCCTACTTGTGATTGTCGGAGGTCTTGGTGTGGGCGGAGATGGCCCTACCCGTGATTGTCGGAGGTCTCGATGTGAGCGGAGATGGCCCTACCCGTGATTGTCGGAGGTCTCGATGTGAGCGGAGATGGTCGCACCCGTGGTTGTCGGATGTCTTGATGTGAGCGGAGGTAGCCCTACCCGTGGTTGTTGGAGGACTTGATGTGGGCAGAGATGGCCCTACTCGTGATTGTCGGAGGCCTTGGTGTGGATGGAGATGGCCCTACCCGTGATTGCTGGAGGTCTTGATGTGAGCGGAGATGGCCCTACTTGTGATTGTCGGAGGTCTTGATGTGGGCGGAGATGGCCCTACTCGTGATTGTCAGAGGTCTAGATGTGGGCGAAGATGGCCCTACTCGTGATTGGCGGAGTTGGTTTGTGGGCGGAGTTTTCCCTAACCGTGATTGGTCGGATTGACTTGTCTTGTGAGGCAACCTGAGAGGAAGTGATAATAGTAACATATGCTTTTGTCCACGTGCATATGATTTATTGACTGTCTATGTACAGTTTAAAACAGAACAATAACTCAAATAAAAATTATTGGGAACATGTAAACCATTTATTGACTTCAAATTTCATSYGGCAAGCACCTTCYTGGCTCAAACTATGACAAATAATCATATTCATATTTTTAGATTTTTAGCAATTTTCTTGCAGTCTGGTTAGCAAAGTTTTGACCGAACCAAATTATTACATGTCCCTTCACATGTATGGCGTTCAAATTTCGTGTGGCTAGCACCTTCCTGTCTCAAATTATTACTAAAATTAATGTTAAAAAAACTTCCTGCCCAACTAGACCAAGCAACTCCCCATTGTTCCCCAGCTTTTTCAAACCCCACCGCCAATCTGACCAATCACGTCTTGGGCCAACTCCACCCTCAAAATAAGAAATTCCCATTTAGTGACTGCAGGGACTCCTTTTCTCCTGTTCTGTGATGTGGATGACATCATCAGGCTTTAAGAATTTTCTGTAAGTTCATTCCTAACAGAAAGTCACGGACACAACTCTTGAGAATGCATTAAAGTTTTTCATGTATTTTTACACATTTTCACATATTTTCACTTATTTTCATGTGCCTTTAATCATACATTTATAGCTATGAAACCCAACAGGAGAAATAACATGAAAACCCGAAAAAGGCAACCAGAAAACATGACTATGGAAACCTTTCAAGCGTTCACCATTCCCAACACAGAAAGCTTTATTATGATGTCAGAGAATGATTTTCATCAAAAACTAACATCAAAAGATGAAAAGATTATTGAATTAAAAAATGCAAATTAATGAATTGATCGGAGAGGTGGAGGACCTAACCAGAAAACTGTCTGATATGTAGATACTCTGAAATCAAAGGCTGAAGTTTTTGTGTTGTCAGCCTAAAACTGAATCACTTCTCAGTAGATTACAGGAACTCTGAGAACAACAAAAGCAGTGGGACCATGGATGGGATTCCTCAAAAGACAGAAGGAAATGTCTGGAAAGTTTGACAAACAAGCCATCAGATACAAACAGGACCTGAACGTTGAGAGACAGAAATCAGATCAGGTGCAATTCCAGCTGATTTTATTTAAGTACACATGAAGGAAAGATGGCTGATCTTTGTAAAATAATACAACAAAAGACCTCAGCTGAAACGGACCGGAATTGAGAACCACTGGCCAAATCCCTGTTTTTTTTTTCTTCCTTTTTTTTGGCCCTCTAAAATTCAAAATCTATGTTTTATTGAGCTGATTGTGTTACAAGATGATGGTAAGTAATAAACCCAACAATTCAGAGTAAAATTTGACCCAGCACATCAAACCAAGGATCAAGTCACAAAATGTTATGTGGAGTCAGCTATAGTGCATTGGTGAAAATGTTTGCAATACTTGAATTTGTTCAGTGTTCTTCTGATTGCAAAAAAAAACCCTGAATTTAAATGTGTTTTGTGCATGTAACGCACAATATTTACATTATCACAATATATCGCAATGTATCTTATGACCCCTGTATCACGATATGTACTGTATCATATCACCAAATTCATGCTAATGCACAGCCTTAATAACAAGAATGGTGAAGGGTCATTTATGAAAAGTTTTTACATTAAATAATAATAACCTTAACAAAACACAGAAAAATAGACATTGCCTGTTTTGAATCGTATTTTTTTGCAAATTCAAAATATTTGTTTATATGTCATCTTTATAAGCATTACTCTGAGTTCTCAGGCTGCTACAGTTTCATAATGTATCCAGATTTACATTTGTGTGATAGAAAAACACTGGGGCTGATTTAATTAAGATGCACTCTCTGTTTTTGTTTGAAAAATYAGTAAATTTCTCTAACAATAAAATAAATGAAGGCTTTATGTATAAGGCCAATAATAAAAGAGCAGCACCATGCTTTATAAAGATTATAAAGTAAATCTTGAATGAGCAGCTGTTGTCCATTAGCTCAATACATTAAGACAAAGATATTAAAAACATTAGATATTAATAAGAGGAAGTGTTCCAATCTAAAGAGACCGTTGTGAAGCAGCCACTTTCTGAGCCGCTGTTCTGAGGAGCTGAGGGCCACCCAGGTTAAGAACAGCTCAGCTCAGGCTGAATGAGATAATATCCTACAGACAAACATCTCAGACAACAGCAGATAAGCCATCCTGTGTCGAACAGATCTGCACCTCATTTACACAACAACAGGAATCCCATTGTTAGAGCAAAACTAAAACAGACTCCACATTTTACAGTTAAAGGCTACCTGACCACTCAGAATGAAAGTGATACAATAGATGAGTATGTTCTGGACATTAAAMAGTAAAAAGGATAACAAATATTCTGTCGTGTAGCAGAATTCAAAGTCTCTGATGAGCACATCCTCTGTGTGTATAAAAACTTGAATATCAGTTAAAAAATAACTTTAGGTTTGTGTTTTACGTGGACAATTCAACAGAGACAAGTAGCTTCCCAAACAGCAGACAGGTGAGGGCCAGTTCTGGTGTTGGACTGTACYTATATAGCGCCTTTCTATCCATCCAGGACACTCAAAGCGCTTCACACTGCAGACATTCACCCATGCACACACACATTCACACACTGATGATGGCAAACTACAATTGTAGCCACAGCTGCCCTGGGGCGCACTGACAGAGGCGAGGCTGCCATACACAGGCGCCACCGAACCCTCTGACCACCATCAGTAGGCAAGGCGGGTAAGGTGTCTTGCCCAAGGACACAACGACTGAGTCGACTGGACGGGAATCGAACCGGCGACCTTCTGGTTCCAGGATGACTCCCCTAACCACTCTACCACAGCCGGCCCAATGGCAGTGCTGGCATGCCAAGTGCTTTATCAGTCAGATGTGGGCCAATGGTGGCACTGTTTTTAGGATGGCTTGCCACAACTGGCCTGGTTGTGGTTGTGGTTTATTTAGCCCAGTTCTGTCAATGCCACAACTGGCCCAGATGTGGTTTGGTTTATGTGGCCCAAATCTGTCAATTCCACAACTGGCCCAGTTGTGGTTGGGTTTATGTGGCCCAAATCTGTCAATGCTGGCCCACTTGTTTGTGCAGTGGCCCATGCATGGACCGCCTCTGGCAAACCACATCTGGACCACCAAATGGTCTTCATTCTTTGCGGTATCTGGGCACACRGTGCCTTATGTGGGCCAGAACTGGGCCAGACATATTTTTATCTGGGAGTTTCTCCTTGTATGGAGATGTGATCAGGCAGCGAGTATTTTAAGTAAATTAAGATTTTCTTTCTTGCAGACTTACAGAAAGGYGCTCATCTTGCTCGTGCATTGTGATGCAGTCCATACTGATCTGGATGGTGTTTCCTGCAGACCCATCAGCTGAACTGTCTGAGAAGTTCAGTTCGATGGGCTGAACTGAATGAATGGCAGATCTGGTAGAAGACACACAGTACAGAAAAACATGTCATGGGTACTTAACATCACAAAAGACTTGTGTGCAGGTTGCAGTAAGGCACTCACTGGTCCAGCATATCAAACAACTGGTTGAAGACATCTTGACTGAAGAAGTCAGAGGTTTGTGCTCCCTGATTCTGGGTGGTGGTGAGGATGGAGCTCTCCCTCCAGGACAAACAAGCTGAAGGATCCCTGAGTCTGCAACGACACATCAATCCATCACTTCATGCACCAAAAAATTAAAACAAGGCATAAGTTTTCATACGGCAAACGTTTTATTGTCAGCAAACATTCAGCATAAAAGTGCAGGGCTGAGGTTTTTGGGCCACCCAGCCTGCAGAAGAAAGGAGGCGGAGTCCTGCTGGCAGCCATTCATGAAGAGCACATCCATTGTGAAGAAGTCGGCCTGCATAATGCTGAATATTTGTACTACACATAATGGTGATTATGCACCATTCAGACAGAGGCACTTTGACCTGCTCCCTTGAAACGTTACACCTGCTTCGGCGCTCAGTCTGCCATTGTTCCTGCTGAAGTGGCGCACGCTGCCTCCTGAGACAAGTGGAATTCCCCCCGCCGTCTATACGATCGCACAGCAACAACCTCTGGTATGTGTTCAGCTGGACCACAGCAAGAGCGGGAGGGGGGCACCATAATCTGGAGCTGGCACTATTTTAGGTGTTGGAATTCCCCCGGTGCTATGCGATGAATGATTTTATTACCTAACTTACAAACACAGGGCATATCTAATGAAGCCAAAAATTTGACTTATGCAGGAGACACACACGAGGGACTGCAGAGTTTCAACCCAAGGAATAACATTTAGTTTCCCAATGTGCTCAAAATACTGTGGGTGGGCCATCTCAGTGTTTTATTAGTCCTGGTCCTCATGGCCCACTGCCCTGCATGGTTTAGATGCATCAAACAACTGAAATGGCTGAATTACTAAACAAGAAATGAGGAGAAACCTGTGTTGAAGCAAGAAAATATATAAAACAGGCAGTGGGTCCTGAGGATCAGGTCTGGGTTATTCCTTTTGAATCAGCTTACAATGAATGAAATAACTTAGCTTACTTTGGGTTGGAGAAGGAATAATAATATTATCACCCATGTTACCAAAATATCTTATGAATACAAGACCGATTTTGATGCAACGTTTAGGAAGTGGCAGTTAGAGGTACATCTGATTAAATTGTAGAGTCACACTGATTCAGTATGGCTGCAATATCCAAATGATCAGCAAACACAAAAGTGGCTATAATGTTGTTATTTTACTGTGCTAAAGTTTAGTGTTGGTAGTAGTGGAGAATGATCCTCAGCACTGAGAACAGATCAGGCAAGATCTTTGTTCAGATTTTTGCAAATTTGGAGTCAACTTTGCAAAAATRTCTCAYAAACCACTGGATGAATTTTAATGAAAGTAGTTGTTGGATGTATACAACCAATCCAAGATGGCTGCCACACCTAATGAAACTCAACACCAAATGTGTATGCCTCAGCCAGTTTCACAGAGATTGAGCTGGAATTCAGTGTGGTAGTAGCTGAGAGTGGTCAGCCAAACCTAATCAGAGTGTGACGTTTATGTCACATACGAGCAGTTAGCAAAATGGTATTTTCAAGATTTGTGGTGGGCACAGTTAACCAAAAAGCTAACTTTGCTAACTCATAATCTGCTMATTTAAAATACAGCTTCGCTGATGCTAAACCACTAAACATGTAAAACATTTAGAGCAAACTTACGCTAAACAGACAGCTAATTAGGTAAAATTTTGCGGAAGCTAACACTAACCGCTAACCGCTAAGACGGCTCATTCAGTCTGTCACACATCTCCGTCTCCTTCCAGCTGAAGACTGGTGGGACCGACACAAACCTACTGATGTTAGCTAATGGCTAATTTGTTTGCTAATGGTTCTCAAAGTTCATTAAAAAACTATCCACTACCTGAAAAACTGTTTTTTTAGCTGATTAGCAGAAACATCCCCATCGCTGTTGAGGTTCAACAATTTGATGAGCGTTTTATGTCATTATCTAAAAGATCATTTTTTAGGAGCACGTTTCTTCTGAAGATTTTTAAAAATGTAGTTTTTGCAATTATTAACCTTTAAATTATTAACCTTT